AACGGGATCAGTGTCGTAATCCTGTTCCTGGATATGCAAAAAGCCTTTGATAGAGTGCCTCACAGAAGGTTACCAAACAAACTAAAGGCTATAGGCATTTGAGAACCGGTGTTCTCTTGGCTGTCTTCATATCTAATTGGTAGACAGCAGGTTGTGCGCATAGGCGACCATTTCTCTAAACCGAAAGCAATCACTAGTGGAGTGATTCAAGGGAGTGTTCTTGGTCCACTTCTTTTTCTAATTTATATTAACGATATATTCCAGAGGATAAGAAATGGTTTTGCATTTACCTTTGCGGATGACATTAAAGTTGTCTACTCACAGCCACGTGCAAATACTCAGGAAGCCTTACGTCTCATTCAGGATGACCTATCCGCCCTTGACTCCTGGTGCCAACTGTGGCAGATGTCATTTGCCGTGGAAAAGTGTAATATTTTGTCGTACAAATGCCAAGTACCGCCATAAAGTTTATTACCACAAGGTGCCTAAATCTCGCAATGCAGGACCATTCGCAAACTGGGCGTGCGATATTCAGTTACGTTTAACTTTTCTGAAAGCTGTGACTTCCAAGTTTCTAAAGCCATGAAGACCATTGGTTATATCTGCCATCATTTTTACCTCACGGAACCTCGCATATCGCTTTACAAAACATATGCATTGCCGTGTATGGAATACTGTTCAAAGGGACAGTCTAACCTACGGAAATCTGACCAGCACTCTCTTGAGAGGGTCCAGAGACGCTTCACGAAAAAGCTATGTGGATATTCCTCAAAGTTGACATACAGGGAGCGGTGCGATAAATTTGCATTTGACCCAGTTTGGCTTCGGATAATGAAGCTGAACCTAGGTTTTCTTTACAGAATCATAAATTGTCGAATCCGCAGTCCTGAAAACGGTGTTCACATATCTGTAAACAGCAGATACCCAATACGTAACAAAGAGGTAAATGTCATGATTCCAAAATTTACTACGAGAATCAGAGAACGTTTCTTTCTAACCCAATACTCAAAGATTTGGAACAAACTTCCAAGTGATATCAGAACATGCTATACTCTGCAATTTTAAGCTAGCTATTAGTAAGCATTTAACCGTCTAAAACGTGATTTAGATGTACGGGACATCACAGTCCCTAGATAAAGCATTCGAAAACGGTATCCATGGTGTTTGAATAAATTTTCGAAACACATACACATAACATTTCGGACAACAGCCACTTTCATTACATTTTTTTCTCGGCCCAAATATCCGTCATGTGAATGTGAAGAATCCTGATTCAACGGCAGGAAAAAAATAGCAGAACGATTTTGATTACTCTGTGTAACACGATTTGCAATTGCGTCCATGTTTATCTCTGAAAATGTATTGATGAAATGTCATGGAAAAGTTGTACCATTATTTGATCTGTTCCTTATAGAGAACAGCTTCTCGAATCGTCGAGGAATATACAATTTATTTTTTTATTTATTTATTTAACACCTACAGGAGTTTCCCACAAAACTCAGTCGACACAATGTCTTATTTAGTGATGCGCGTGCTGTCTCTCACAGCTCACTATCATGAAATGTTTACATTTGGAGCAAGATTAACCCACACTATGCTGAAGAAGTCGCCCACAACCCACCGCACATCATGATGAGGGCGGCAATGTCAGACACCAAAATCATAGAGCCATTTTTTCGAAAACCAAGTGAATGAGTTTGCCTACCGATAAATGTTAGAGACCTGGTTTATTCCACAATTAGTTGCACCTGGAATCCTGCATATAGCCATTCTGCAGCAAGACGGCGCCCCTTCAAATTTTGCTATCTCAGTGCGCCGGTTCCTGGATAAGATTTTCTCTGGTTGGTGTATTAGGCGTGGATCACAGCATCAATGTTCAGTTCGCAGTCCTGACCTCTCATCATGCGACAATACATTGTGGGGCATAGTGGAAGCAGACGTCAGAAATGCACGTTACAATAACACCGAAAATCGTAAACCTGCAATCCGTGCTTTATTGAATGCGATTTCCCCTGATGTTCCGCAACACATCTCAGCACGCACTTGAAGACGCATGTGTTTATGTGATGACGGTGGACACGCAGACACATTGGATCCATGACAACGCGATCATATTCTAGCACATATTTGTATCAATAAATTTCATTGATCAGCGAAGAGCCCTTCTTTTCCTAAACAAGTATCACGTACAAAGTTTTTACATTTATTCACTTTTTACATAAGTGTACGCATAACGTGGTGTCCGGAGACGTTGTGGCCACCTTGTAAATACAACTAGCGGTGGTATCCACAGAAAATTTAAACTTCAGCTGGAGGTGTAGTATGGGCGTGGAGAGGAAGATAATGCGCGTCTTTGCAGCCTCGTAGGTGTTAATGACGGATGTTCGTAATTGTCTGCTAAGGTGTTCGGAATGCTTGTTTCTTTTAAACGGCAAATATATGTAGGCAGTTCTCGTTCCTACTATGGGTTCTTTGGCGAGCGCACCTTCAGTTAGCATATTCCTTTTACTGGAGTTTCCGGGAAAGCGGTTTTTGAGGAACACTTTGCTTATTATAGCTTACTTTGTTGCAATTGGGTCCTCGCTCTTCCGATAAAACATCGAACTAGATTCTGTTTCTGTCAAACTGGCACAACTCTATCAAGGTGCATATACTGACCCGTTCATTTGGCTTTCCTATGGATTATACGCTGCAGCGATCTATCAGGTCTATGTGGCATTTGTAAATCTAAGTTAGCCAAGCCTTGGTTTGACTCGGATTGCTTGCTCAACTGCACATAACTGTGGGCCCGCTTGGATCCCCGTAATTGTTCAAACTGCTCCACGGCGCACTCAGGTATGCACATCACGTCACTTATAGCGTGGCCTCCGCGCCATCATTTCACACAGCGGACGCTTCCCTAGATTAGCCATAAACCCCAGCAAACAAGGAACCCAAGGACCACACCGTAGCTAGCTAGCCTTTTGGTTGGGATAAGTGACAGATAAAACGAAACTGCACGTTGTGGATAGCTTGAGGAAGTTTCGTATTACTTCTTCCTCCGACAAGCCAATTCGTTTTCCTGTGCGCCTCTTATATTCGATAACATAAACGATTGTACATTTAACGGCGATATTATTAAGTAGCGACGTCACCTTGAGCGAAAATACTTGCGTATTATTCACATTTTAAGTTCTAATACTGTCTACGAACCCGAACGTGTCACGCAAACAAACGGTCGCCAGCCCCCTTCTTGTTGGACCCAGTGGTGTGCCCAGCCACTTTGCCAACGAATGATATGAGAAGTTATTCATGTCAATTGTCGGTCGTGCAGGTGTCCCTCTTAATATATTTTAGGTTATCCACATAAGCGAATAAGGTTGGTGACATTATTATGATTTTCTTGCTCTTATATGCTTGAATGTGCCCGAAAATCAGATGTATTGTTGCTGGTACTCCCTTCACACTTCTTCACCCGACCCACTTTTCTTCTTTACCGGGGAAAACATAACTCACAGATACCAAAAAGTGTGGGCTGCAGAGGAATTGCGAACTAAGATGGAGATAACCATTTTTGTCGCTACTCCTGCATATCCTGCTTAAGCTGCCACGCCAACCTTTCTATTATACCAAAAAGTGTGAGTTGATAAGGACAAACTGACTGAATCTATCCATCTTCCTTCGCTTTTACCATACGTTTTTCGCTTACTCGTCTATGCTTCCCATGTTGCTCTCATGTAAACATGTCGGGCATCATGGTGGAGCCAACCGATTCTGCTTCCCACATCTTCAACAGTATTTGAAAAAATGCTCTCTCATTTTTCCTCATACTGCTTTATGCCTAGTGTACAGTTTTAACAAAATACCTGCGCCAGTAGACAAGTGTCAGTAAAGTTCATCTCACACGCAACAGCTTAATCTCCCATTCCAGCTGTCTCGGCCCATATGTGCAGCTGCTGAAATGGAAGTAAAGTAATAGCCACGTCCTTCACCAATGTTTCTTGAACGTCACAAGTTGTAGTAAATGATTTACCTACATAGGAAACTTTGTTTAAATTGCATGATTTCAGCTTGAATCTTTACCGATAATCCAAGTTGCTTCTCATCCTTTGCCCATGGAAATGTAAAGTCGGATCCGTCCGCACAAAAATCTTAGTCGGGACGCCATGAGATATTCTGCGCCCAAACAAGCCATTGCACTGCAACACCCTGGAGGATAAAAGTGCTTTTTATTTTTGTCGGACGTATGAGATACGCTGTTAACCTATACGAAACAATTATAACAACTATGATCACTCCGATCAGGGCATTCCTCGTAAAACTGAGAATACACATTATTATAAGGCACGGAAGTGATAGGACGAAAGTGTCTTGTGGTACATGCTGCTCCCGTGTATTAGCTAAAATATGACGCCGGATGACACGAGGTAGCTAGGGAAGGATGTGGGGGACCGCGGATTTGGGCAGCGTGTTAAATCAGACAATGGAGCCTTGCACACACCTTGCACACAATTTGATAAACACTACTACTGTAGAACCTAGATTTCTGTATCCCGTAGACCCAAGATAGCAGCACACGAGTAAACATTGTCCTTGCTATTTTTTATTTTCTTCTCGCTTATTACGTGATCAATAACCACTTCCCTTATCGCTTTATGTGCCTACATTCCAATACAAAACTCCCTTTATACTGCAGTGCAGTTAATTCTGTAATCGCCCGAACTGGCGATTCCATTATCCATTTAGCTATCATTTATACACCAGGTGAATACCGCACGGAGACACTTTTATCTGATTGAGTGTAATTTAAACGTGAATACCCTTCCGTAAAGCAGTAACCGAAGTCTATGTGTATACTAATATAATTGAGCATATTCATAATCGTGAATGAAGACAAATCCAAACTATCAGTAAATAGAAGAATGTGCAAAAGCACACAGCATGAGAGGCGTGCACAAACATAAAGGCGAATACAAGGACTGTTGGTTTACAAACAGGTTCTCGCCAGCCACAATTAGAAGCTGGCGCAACAATTGTTCGCTTGACCTTAATCCGTACAATTACCACTTGAGCGCTAGACTCGCTGTATGCAGGACTGTCAGGCTTAATCCGATTGCACTCACATGGAGTTTACCTGTAACATAAAACGATAACCAGAGGCTCTGTTAATATTTGGCTTCAAATTACCATAGAAATTTGCCATTTGATGAAATGTAATCAGACCAGGCGATATTCATCGCATTAACGACTATTTATTAACAAATACTTTGAATATAAATTCAGGTTGCAGGCAGTCGTGCCTGGCTCTTTAAATTGGTACTCGTACTTCCAAAGACACTGGTAAACAAATCAGTTATGCGCTTGTAGGTAGAGCGGAAAGATGAAAGCACCCAATTAACATGAGATAGAAGTCTATGCACAGACTAGGAAACAGCATGCGCAACATTCCTAGCTGTACATCAAATCAACATCTAACATGACGCAAGTGTTCTGGGAATTGCATAATGGATGTAAATAGGAGGGTGACTATAAAAGTTCTAGGAGTTTGACTACAGTTTGGTGCAGCTAAACAGCCCTTTTAATGCAGATCAATTTTATTAGCTTCCACCTCGTGGTAATTAGGATGCAATATACTTATTTCTTGCATTATCGGAACTGTATACTGAGTGGTTATGAGCTGAAAAGGTGTGAAATAATGCTCCGACTTAGGTCCTCCTTAACTAAGCTTGCTTTAAACATTTCGCAGCATACATTTCTCTCCTAAGAATACATGTGAGTTTGCGGTCAGTTGCAAAAGGTAGGGAACGATTTAATGATAGAGACTGCACCTCAGAAGCGGTCGACCGGCAACCTACATGCAAATGCCCATGCCATCATTCAGGTTTCAGATGTAAACCTTTATGTTCTAAATGTTGCATTGTTCAATTGTCGCATCCGGGAGGATAGAGGCCATCGTTTGCCGCAGCAGAGAGTCCATGGAGAGAAAATGCCATGCGGAGCGCTCCGACATGTCTTGAGGGTTGCTCAGCCATGTTAATCTGTGATGAATCACTGTACCAAAACCAAGCGATGGTCACAAAGGAAGGCAGTGTACCGTCCTTGCGTTAATGCACTCTTCATATCTACGGTCATGTAGTAACAAATACGTTAATAATAGCGCATAAACACTAGGAAAATGGTACAGCGCTGATCACACTAGAGTGCCGGAGAGTTCATGATTGCATTTCGTGATTACTGATAGGGATTAAGTGTAATAAAAGCAAAGGAGGATGCCGAAGAAATAGTTAATTGTGTTCTCTCATTCAATATCGTTTGTGCTCACCTGAAGCAGCGGTAGTTTTTGTAGACATGAGAGTAGTTGGCTTTGTGGTCACTTTAACGCTAGTTGTGGATTCCTCTGAGGTAGGTGAAGGCAAAAGAACAAGAGAGAAATGCATTAACAATTTTTGAGGCCATATCTTACCAACTTACAAGAGATCCGCAATGCTGCTTTGATACACCTGTATTTGACCTCCGTGTATTTCTTTCCATAACGACAGTACAATCCACAAATATCATGGTAAGAGGTATCATCGGCAGCAATTCAGAAGAGTATTGCTTAAATTCATTCGGATATCCCTTAATTGCAATTCTACACTATCAATTATTATTTTCACAAAACCTGCTTAGGGTCAAATGTTGCGCCACTGGTGTCGACGCATTCGCAACCAAGTAACTATGTACGCAGATTCTGTGCGTAAGCGCTTGTCAAAGATATCACGATGATCCAAGTGTCCTACCAGTTTGCGCCTGGAAATTTATTTAGCGCAACCAATCGATCTCATCGGCAGACCGCGTTGCGGATACCGGGCGGACTACAGGACTATGCGGCATGCGAATCCACCTGATTGTTAGGAGACAAACATTATCACAACTCGTATTTTGCGAATAGCTTAGGTGGATTAGTAGGCCGAACTTCTTGTTTCACCTTACTACCGACAGTCCTAACCACAAAACTATTGTAGTTATCGAACATCTGCGCCAAAGTACTTCCCCGAACAGACACGTCTAAAGAGTTCAGGCCCGGTAAATACTCTTAATTTTCCTCAGATATATGAAAGAAGTGGAGGGGAAATGAAAGGATTAGAAGCAGATTAATCAAACCTATGACTCTATAGCAGCAAAAACTCTTAGGTTGAATTAAGAGCTGCAAGCTTTGAGTTTGTGGACTTCCCTCATTCCTAGAAATATGCTTCGGTAACGGCAAATGTGTCAATCAGCATCCCATAAGTTGACATCACTGCAAATGAACTACTTATTTGAAACTACGTTCCATGGAATTCACAAGTTCGATGCATACCTAAAAGTTATGACCCATAACCGTGTGGTTTATAGATGGTGATCTGCTAGAGTATTGTGAAAATGCTTCCTGTGGTCACAATAAATTGCATTTCAGATATGTTTTTTAACTTTTTAATCACGCTCAGTGGGGCGCAATGTGTGGAACCGTGGCATTATAGCCGCAATTTGTAAAGGCTGTAGCCACGCAGATCTGAAAACTATTGCCCAGTCGCTCTCCTCCCTGCGCTCGGGCAGGTGATGGAAGTGGTCATTTTTGAGGCTGTAAAAGACCACCTGAAAAATGCAAGGTATCGCAGCCGGAGCAACATGGCTACCGTCAACACCGGTCATGCACAACGTACTTGTTAATGACACGAGGTAGTTGGACGGAAGTGCCATATGATTGGATAGGAGTTGTTGTCATGTATCTGGATTACGCCAATGATTTCGGCCGCCTGGTTCACCGCATCCTACTTCACAGGCTAAAGGGCTAAGAAATCTGAGATCCTGTTCTTAGTTGGATTCGCAACTTTATTTCCCAACGGATGCTTCAAGTGTGTGTTAGGGTATCACTCTCTAACCCGATTGCGGTGGAACCTGGTGTGACACAGGGATCGGTACTTGGTCAGCGCCTGTTCCTTGTGTTTGCCAACTACCTGGAAAGAGTCATATCCTCACATTTCATGCTTTTCCCCGCTTACGGCAAAGTTTGGTGAGCAATTAATAACAAGATCACGAGCTACTCCAACATGACCTAGATTGCTTTTATAAAATAACTTTACTTGACACAGCTAAATGTAACGTGATCCATCTGCGCCACTAACCGTTGAGGGTTTAGAAGCTTGGAACCCACACCTTGGAGAAGGCCTTCCACGAGCATGATCTGGGTGTACTGGTACAGGAAGGTTACCGCCCTCGATGAAATTGTGTGGTTATTTCAGCCACATCACTTGCTTATTAGTTTGCCTCGCTTTGACCAATCAACATTGCTTCACCTCATGCAATAAATCGTGGGCCCTGTGATCAAGTTACGCAGTTTCCATCCGCTGTGCTCCGCTTCGTACTGTGCCTTGTTCTGCCCAACTGCGGTCTGGGTGCATGTTTTTTGACTACGTTACTAGATAATATTAATCATTAATTCGCTACTAACTTTTGGTCTTCCGCTGAGGACAAACCAACCTCATCAAACTGAATGCGGTGGAAGAAATCATTTATTAACTACTAGGAACTACTACGTGGTTTGAATCTCATGATTACCCTTTCGGAGTCCCATAAAACAAGCCGATTCAAACAAATATTGGGGATGAAGGTCAACGACATTACGATGACAAGATTTGGAAATTGGTGATATCTGTCTTTGATAAATATACTACATTGTGGGGATTGAAACAAAATGTTTATACTGCGTGATACAGGTTCTCAACGCTGGTACAGAAACCGAACGAGGGCGCCAACAACTGCTTGGCACACATCGACAGATCCATTCCCTAGTGTCACCTATATTCCAGCAGCTGTAGCAAGCAAATTACAATCTCTCAGGGAGTACAGTGCCCTTGGAATCGACAAGGTCTGCCCAAATGTACAGGAAACCCTTTCTCCCACCATAGCACCACCACTTGCAACCTTTTTTCAGGATCTGCTTAACTCCCATAAACATCCATCTGAGTGGGAACATGGAATAAGCGCTACAATATACAACGTGGTGAGCGATCGGATGCTGCTAACGGCCGACCTATTACATTCCTTCCCGTTTTATCAAAGGTGACGCATCGGTAATCGCAGGTGAACCGACGCGATACTTTGAAAGTCAACAAACAGTTTTAATGCCCAACATGGTTTCAGACGCAGACGACCTCGTTTCCCAACTTTTCTGATTACTCGAGACTCATGGGCGGCTGTTAAACGAGTCCCCATAGATGTGATTTATTTATGCTTTTCTAAAGCATTCGACAGGGTCAATCATTTATTTCTCCTCCAAAAGCTTGCTATTTACTGTGTCAACGGTTCCCTGCTCGCCTGGTTAGAAGACAAACAACACGACAGAGCAATCAAGGCAAGGGTAGCCGAAACTCACACTGCAAGCCTGTGCGTCTTCAGCGGTGTAAAACAGGAATTCTTCATTTTCCCTCTACTGCTTTTAGTTTACATTAATGTGCTTCCAGCAGGCATTCTATCTCTGATGCAAATATTTTCAGACGATGCTAAAATACGGAGGACCGTTCGCTCAGCATCCAACCGTGTCTACCTCCAGGTAGCTCTGACTCGGATTAACGAATGGGCAGTAAGGGACCAGCTCCCACTTAACCCAGCAAAGTGCCACCTGCTGACGGTGCGCAGCAGCTTCGTCAACCTACCTTTTGGGGAAACACGTCCTGCAACACTTGACTAGTGAATGCGACTTAGGTATAAACGTGCAATAGAGTCTTGGCAATTCGTTCTAATGTTCGAAAGCAACAAGTGTGGCGAACTTGAACTTGATTTTTGAAGCGAGCACCTTTGAGCAAGAGCTAGCACCATTGCTGATTGACTCCTAAATTTTTCCTCACCTTGAGTATGCCATGTAGGCCTGGTGTCCATGGTCAAACCAAGACATTGGAACAACCCCAAAGAAGAGTCACGAAGGCAACTCGTAGACTATCCGGTCTAAGTTACGAACTGCGTCTTCGTATGCTCGGTGTGTTCTCGTTAGACTACCGGCGGCTTCGTGATCTTACTCACACATGCCGGATATTAACTGAAAGCGAGCATCTAGATACATCACGGTTGACTCTAGCCCCCTTACAAACAAAGCGGAGACAAGCACCTGAAACTAATGACGCAACAGTGCCGGTTGAATTGTGGCGAGTATTTTTTACTCACTGAGAATTTGTTCTCACTAGCATGTATTACCGAAATATGTGGTGCACGCACAAGACATGACGACCTTCGAAAGACTTAGACTTTCAGCTTAGCGATAAACGCTCCGCAATAGTTTGAGAAAGTGCAATCGTTCAACCCCTGATAATCTAGGTTCCAGGTTAGAAGGTTTTGCTTTTTATTTTATTTTGCATATCCATCCTGTGGGTATTGTAAAGTCGTGCTTTTTATCCCACCATACACAATTGAACTATTGAAAATCCAGCCCGACAACTTTGAAGAACAAATGAAAATACAGTGCCTACTTGCAAGGATCATGGACGAAAGTGTACGAGAAAATTGTTTTCTTTGAACTCGTCAGATACTACGTGGACAATGCTTGTCTAATGGTTCGAAAAACGAAGCCTATCTCGCACTGGCTACGTAAATTTGCTGGGCATCCAGTTGCTATGGCCCTTCATGCAGTCGCTAAACCAGAAACTACAGGTAAAAATCGAAGACACATGTGCTACAGCTGCAGGATGCAACCTGCTCGTACTTCAGACTGTTACCCCAACGGAAACACCTGCCAAAAATGTGGTAATTTAAAACATCTATCCCGCCTGGCAAATCGGAAACCGCCCTACTGCCTAATCTTACTCAACCGAGGCACCATAATAAGCAGACGCTTGCGGAGTAAAACGTGCTGGAATACCCAGACATCGATCTAAGTTCCTTCTAGCATCTAACAAGTATCCTACATCTACGATTCGTTTGATGATCGTAAAAGAACCGATCGATTTGGAACTAGACACCGGGGTTGCAGTTGACATTGTAAGCAGTGGTTCAATGAAGATTCTGCAGCACTTACAACCTTGTGACTCAAAATTGCAAAAGTGCACTGGAGATCCGATTATGGTCTGGCGAAAGTACATAGTTAGAGGTAGGCACGGCGTGCGGGAATTTACTCAAAGTTTGATCGTCATACCTAAGAAAAGGCCAAAGCCCTTGGGCAGAAATTGTATCTGATGCTTCCAAGAAACGATGCAGCTTAATGAGGACGTCATAAATGACAGCAGTATAAACGATCTGTTTAACCAATTTTCCTTTTCATTCGAAACTAAGTCGGGGATGCTGAAGCTTTTCAAAACTTCCAGCAGCTCATTGCTAAGTTTTACAAAGCATGAAAGCTAGTGTCCCAAAGTGGAAGTAGAACAAAAATAGCTAAAATCCGAAGGCGTAATTAGGCCTGAACAGCACTCGGATTGGGGTACCCAAATTGTCCCTGCATTAAATCCAACGGTATCGTTCGTATCTGTATGGACTATAAGTTAACGGCCAGCCAAGCTCCTAAGATGGATAGGTATCCCTTGCCATACATCGAAGACTTGTTCGCTACGTTAAGCGGTGGTCACAATTTTTTAATCTTTATCCTAGTCATGCATATTCTTAATTTGAGCTTGAGGTGCCTTTATGTAATTTGAACCCCCATAAATATACATCTAATATTTAATTACACCCGTCTTTCTTGCGGAATAAATTCTGACCCAGCACCTTCTAGCAAATTGTGGATGACATCGGGAATGTTATGCCCTTTCTTCGTGCTTGTTTGTATGATATCCTGATTTGTGGTTTCAGTGATGCTGAACATTTAAAGCTACTTCGGGCGGTGTTTGAACGTTTGGAAACGCATGGATTGAAACTGAAGAAATCTAAATGTGAGTTTATACCTGATTCTCTATATTACCTTGGCTACAAACCTGATAAGCTAGGTCTGCATGATTTTCAGGATAAAGTATCTCCAGTTCTACAGGCACCGTAGCCTAAGAATGGTGGCGAAGTTTGATCATTCTCCAGAAACTTGTCACATTATCGTCGTACTTCACCGGGGGTATCAACTATTTTAGCTTCTTTTAACGCAATGCTACTTAAAAGCACCACATGGTTGTGGAATGATAACCGTCAGTTCGCTTTCAACTGTGCTAAAAGTTGTCTAACGGCTGCGCCAGTTTTAGTTCACTATGCTAGCGAAAATTCTTTGAGCATTCAGTGTGATGTTTTTCCATACATAGTTGGAGTTTATTTGTGTTATAAAATTCCGAATGGTACAATTCATCGGGTTGCTTTGGTTTCGCATGCCTTTTAATATTCAGAAATATAGTACTCACGGCTAGAGCACGAGGCTCTATCAGTTATCTTTGGTGTCAAGCAATTTCACCAATAGATTTGCGGCAGTCATTTTGAAATCCAGACCCTACAGATGCCGTAGTTATCCTTATTGGGTGAATCCAAGGGGATAAATCAAATGCTTTTACCTAGAAAGTGACAATGGACTCGGATCCTGAGTGCGTAGGAATGCAAAATAAGTTAAATTCGAGGCGCTAACAATGGTACTGCGGATAACCTGAGTCGGTTACCGCATGCGACCCCAGAGGGCAAGTAGATGAACCGGTGTAATTAGTTCATTTGACGCAGTAACTCGCAGTTACATTTTGACAAGGGACGTCGTGCGACGATAGACCGATCTGCATCCCAAACTAGCCTCCCTGATACACTTCAATGATGATTTATCACGGGTAAAATAACATGTGCTTAACAAGTCGCGTAGGATGGTTGGAGTAAAAATTAAAATCTTACGGCGCGTCGAAAAAGTAAACCGTTATTTTAAGCGCCTACCGATTTAATCGCACTACTACATAACGATAGTTTGTAGTGAGAATGGGATGTGCACACACAAAATAGTACAAAGTGCCGTTATAGTTCACTAAGCGCCTGAGAAAGAAAAAAGGAACCGATAAAGCTCACTTGTTTGTTGCTTCACTTGACAGATGTGGTATGTTAATGCAGTTTAGACACATCCAGGCTACTCCTATGGAGAATACTGCAAGTTTTCTAATCGCCACTTTTTGGAGAGGGCCGCTGATCACAGTGTGAGGTGTGCACTATTTCAACCCCCAAGTAGATTGTGTAACGTACCGTTGCTTAGAAGCCCCTACGCTTCCGTGGTGCATAATCGCTTCCATTAAAGTAATCTTATCGTTTAGCCTCTGCTCGGCTTCTGCGGTTAATCGGTCGCAGTTCTGAGCTAGGAGAAGCAAGCACTTAACGAGTGGGATGGTGGAGCACGCAGTACAGAACCAAAGTGCATCTTGGGAGTTATTTAGCTCTCGTACCGGTTGTTGGGACACATTTGCACATTTCCTACGATATTACACCAAGCAGTGCGAGCAAGCCAGACTGATTTTAATCACTTGATGACATTTTCTTAACCCGCAACTGCCTTTCGCTTGGAGCATTTTCGGTTTCGCATTTATCCATTCAAGGTGGTATGGTTACCTAACCAAGTTGGTTGGACAGCGTTCTGTACTTTTCCGGCTTTGACAGCGGCCCACATCGGTCAGGCGAGCGTGGTGGTTGCAAGGTCAAATGGGTTGCGCTATTAGAATAATGATGTTGCTTCATTCATGGCTATAGGAACCAACTGCACGGTACAACAATGCGCAACCCAACATTTACGGCAGTTCTAAGTTACCAAATGTAAGGTTCTCTCCAAAATACACCAGCGAATCTATTCCTACGAAATCGGAACGAATATACCGCGACAATGGACTGTCGAACGTGACTTGTGTGTGTGGATTTAAGCTGAATTGAGTTCCTCCAGGCAACCCGAAATGACCTCCAAGACTGAAAACCAACACGTCGGGCTGTTGCTACGGGCGTTAGGACAAATGGAGAGCTTTATTTTTCGACAACTGCTCAGTGCGTATGTTCACCCCATGTTGTATACGCATTCATGGTTAAAACAAGACTTTACCGCACCGGATCGGATTCAACGTCAGGCATCTCTGCACGTAATTGGAATGTGCGCTCTTTTATTCGACCAAAAGCTGCAAGCTTTAGGGGTAATCAGCAGACAGTAACGCAGATTACGAGGAGACCTGCTTATGGCATACTTGATTCTGCATGACCCACATCATGTGTGCCGCTCCCTACCGCGAGTCAGTAGGAACGCAAAACTGAGGGGTCAGTCACTGAATCTCACAGAACAGTTTAGCCGTCTGGAGTGCCGCTGGAAGTTCTTTTCCATTCCCTTACATCATCCGTGAAATGCTCCCCAGAATCGGTCCTCTCTGTACCGACAATTAGATTAGTTAAAAGTCGGTTGAATGACGCTCTCATCCACGCATAATTCATTCTTCGCGTAAACTCTGGAGTGCACCGTGGATTTAGTTGGTATTAACTGATGGTGCTGTGAATCTACGCGGACTGTAGAACTACAGTGGAACAGATGGCAAGACCCAGTTATCATGTTTAACGTACTGTTTATTAATATTATGGATATTATTATATTAATATCCCCAAGGACTACACAGCGGGACTTGTACAGCAGCGCTTCTTAGCCCCTATGAATTCATTGTTCATGGGTGACCGGCTTCTTGTCGTTAAGCCCCAGCAGCTAGTCAAAATACTCATGCGGTCGGTAATTGTATGTGGCGTACAAAACCGAATAGGCTTCAAGTGTGCAGATCAAGCTGTTCGCTTCCACATCTTCGTTTCTCCCACTACGTTAGTGACGGCCGGTGAAAACTAAACCTAACCACTGCGCGTTTTAATATGCATGACATTGCAGAATAAATCGCGGCATATTGTGGCCAGTAAGCAATCATGACATTCCAGTGCAGTCAACTATGGCTCCTTCGCATATCCCACTGACTCCAGCACGCATGCAAATCGTGGTTCAACGCCAAGAGCAGTATGCGGTATGCGCACTGCAGTCCGAACCAAATGGTACCAAGGTACTACGTTGCGTATCTTTCCAATATGTGTAAGCTTTACTTAATTTAACTAGATGGTGAAGAAAATTGACAAGTCAGCACCTGAAATTGATTTTCATCTTAGCTCTTGGAAAACTGGTGTGGAGCAAAACCGCCGCAGTATATAAGTTACCCTACAACATATATACTTTGACCAGCGGCATTTAACATCTTCGTGAGTATAAATGAAATAGTGAATCAAATTGTCCGCATTCCAAAACCACATTGTCATTGCAACGGCTTGTCGCATGGTACAGGCGGAATTTCCTTGTTTATTGCTACAGGTAAGGCGAGAGTAACTACCCAGTATGGGATTGTAGTCTATTGTAATCATCTGAGAGATATTCAGTCCAACTTTTAAAAAGCTTGGACGCCAAAGCTTTAGCTACACCACACAAACATATCTATGCGAGCCGGTGAGAAGCGTCGTGATGTATGCAGGAAATAGGGACCAAAATGATTGAGAGCTTTATCAACCAGAATTTTACAGATTGCGATTAGACTTCAAGGTGCAAATTACAGTACAACGCACTCACCTTTGACTGTTTCTTTCATTTCTTCTGTTACCTGTTCCTCCTTTTCGCTATGCGGCTTCGTCGGCACTTTATGCGAGTAAGAACGGAGAGAAAAGCATTTACGAAGCAAGTTAGCCAAAATATGTATAGGTGTGAAGGAAACGGGCAAACATTTTCTCAGATATGTTGCTCAACGCTGCTTAAGATAAAAGCAAATTCTACATGCTAACACATCGACGTATTCCGCACTCAACATTTTTGACATTCCCTACTATCGCCATGCATGCGCAGTTCGCACCAATCGTGGAAGGATGACATAGAGGGAGCTACCCGTTATAGCGCTTTTATATCCATGTATAGATAGTAATTAAAATGTAAAGAAAGGCAAAAGGCGATTTATCCTTCACCGAAGCCAGAGTGAATTCAAATGCAGTGGATGGTATTTGTTATTCTAGTTCTTTGCGGTACAGGGACTAATGATCGTTAATGCGAATAAGGTTTTCCAACAGCTTGTTCGCCACTCCTCGCAACCGACCATGTAGGTTGCCCCATTTGTTTGAAAATTGCTCCTCATGATTGAACTCAAATAGTTGGACTTGTTGATAACGTTAAGGTAATTCTGTAACTCAGGAGTCCATGTATTTCCTCGAATCCCTGTCGTATTCGCTTAATCGCAACGCTTTGTTTTCAACAGTCCATATGGCCACAGTTCGTTGCCTCTAGGCATTGTCCACGGAAATGCATGAGCAATCGACAAGCAGCGACGATGATAGGTAGTACAAATTTTATTGGTGAGAAGCGCATAGCAATATGTGATTTTGTGACCGTCTTACACCATACGTGAAAAATTTAGCACAATTCAACTGAGTGAAATCCGGTCTACGCGATGGAGTTCTGCACCACATCTTGCTGTTCAGCGTAGCGTTTTGCTTGACACCGACTGAGAAGCGTGCACCACGAATCGGTCTTCTCTCAAGTCGCGATCAAGCAACTCTGCTAAGCCTTCTGTTTTAGACTTAATATACTTCATATCAGCTATGCCTTCTTTATTTATTAATATATACCCAACTGCATATAGTGGAGCGCACTTCCACGCTAAAATTTGCTGAAGTTAACAGCCAGGCGAATTAACACTTCTGGCTAGAGGAAAGTAAACTATCACTGAAATTTACGTTGCAATTTCGATGTTTAAGCAAGTCATCTCTACGGATTTTTGGGATAACCGGAGCTCGCCTGCTCTCCGCTTGTTAATGTACATGCGAGTACCGTAGGACCTAATAAACAGTGATTAGGTGATAAAACTACCACGTTGCTGCACGCGTTTGCGATACAACACCTTTACACACAAAGCTCCCGCGCTTTGAAATAAATTGCCTCCGAACATCAGAAGTACACCTTCGCTTCGAAGACTTAAGATGCAAACAAAAGAGTACTTGATTGTTAAAAGAGGTAAAGAACTGTTCCGCGTCAGTTGCACAGACGAATGGGAGTAAGAGAACGGGCCTCCTGACATTTAAGTATTTGCAGAATTCGCAATACAAATGTACAGATAAATATGGCGTGAAACGCTTGTCGACACAACGTGAAATACAGTATTCCATTAGCACGAGCTTTGCTTGCTAGCTAACACCTTTTTCTCGCACTCCACCATCCTACTTTGTCAAACCCTTCGATATCACTCAAACTGATAACCTACCGGTGGCCTATGCAAACATTGTTACATCCATCGGTTAGCTAAATGAGAGATCTCTTGTTTCTCTTGGTCTATACTGTTATATTATTCCTGTTACTCAAACTGATGACCTGTTGGCGACCTATGAAAACATGGGCATATCGATGAGGTGGAGAGATGGAATTGATTTTCGTTATTTCCTTCATCTACATCGCTTCTTATTGTGCTCTTATTTTGATTGCAAATCCGCTGATGGCATTAGTAATTCTTGCGCACATTGGTGGGTTGGTTAAGCAAGCCTTTTCTTTAGTCTTCATGTAGTGCTTCCTTTCTATTACAAAGCTAGGTGAAAGTCATGAGTGTCTGCAAGACATAAACATATTAAAGTGTTGAATTGACTGTCTGCACTAACCCACCCAATTTACTTACGCAATTCCATTTGCCCAGTGTTATTCCATCTTATCTCTTGTGTGAGCCGTCATTACTTATAATTGAATTATGTTTCATGATGGAGACAGTCCTTAGTTTTACCGTTTGTCGTGTTATCATGTTTGCTCACACATTTTCACTATTTTTAAATCATTGTTATATACCAAGGTTATGGATTTTAACTTAAGTGTTCCATGTGCAAATTGTCACTCACTACTAAACCGTTGTTATTTTTATTTGGTTGCCCAAACCTCCACCGAATCACTTGAGATAGCCGTGTATTTCGAAGAATTTTGAAACGAAATCAATGGCATAAGAATCAATGAGATTGGAATTACAAGTGTTTCTGCGCAGCAATTTCGTTAAACCATTCTGCATTCCCTTAGTACCTTATGTTCGGAGCAGCTTAGCTGGGCCGTGCATCACGTAATTGGGGAGATACCAATTAATTAGTCATCCCAAAGTGGTTTTAAGTATGGGAAACCGAAAGAAATCTGCTGGTACTGAGCCCGGAGAATATTGGGAGGGTCACAATGGTTGTTTATATTCTGCCTGGTAGATGAGGACAAACGCGAAACGTGACATTTTGCGTTGTCATGGTACAACATGCAAATTTCAGGCCATACACTGCGCACAACATTCTTCAAACGCTATAGAATATCCTAATAGACGTATCTTTGCCATTTGACCATGTGGTAAAAATTTCTGTTGCGTAATGATTTGCAGTGGAAAATACAGTCTCTGGCTGGATCTTTGACCGACTCATACATACATTCTGGAGGAGGAGACACTTTCCCCTTCCACTGGGATGACCGCGACCTCGTTGATTTCCATCATTACTAACCTGTGTTGCATCGCCTGTTTTAGTGTGTTTGAATAAGTTTTAAATGCAATTGGCAGGGTCTGGCAATTCCTGACTGATTTCAACAAGGTTCCGCAACAGATCATCAGGCTACAAATGTAGTGGGATAGTTGCACAGGCACGACGCCTCTAAGGTTTGATCATGAAAACTTTCTGGTATGTTTATACGCCGAGTAACTTCTGCAACAGTTACACGACGATTTGCGCAGACCATACATGAATGTCCTCGACATGGTCATAGTGTTTTGAGTTAGAAATTCATCCACGCTTGTGCTCGTCACTGACTAACATTCTGCTGTGTTCAAAACACAAACCAATTATACCACTCGGTGCGACTCATACAGTCTTCTCCGTATGCTCGGCTATGTATTCGAAGTGTCTCTGTAATCGTGTTGCTAACGCTGAAGTTAAATTTCACACACGCACACACAAAGACACGCACGCATTGTCCATCAATCACTCGCATTGTCACTTCGACACTAATCCGACGAGCATCTTGTGTACGCGCTCACTTCAGTCGCAGTAGCTCGCAACCTAACGTCTGAGTAAATTGCGGTACATAGGAGTTAGCTTTAATGCGTGATGGACCACGGATATCCCACATGGCTCAATTTCATAAGTTGCTGGCGGGCGCTTTCAACCGCTGTTGGTTATATATTCAAATCGCGAATTATCCAGCGGATTCTCACTGAGAATGCGGCAACACAGGTGGAACCTGCAGTCCAGTGTTCTCAAGGCGTGTAGAGGACCCGTTTATTTGGAAGTCGCTCCGATAACCTGGCAATTAAATGAGAATTTGTTGCACGCACATGCCTCTAGCTGAGCTCAGTAGCCGCAGCGCGCATCCTGTGACAATTGGCGCGCAATTTCAACAGTTTGGGACAGCTTTGAATATAGCAGTGGGCTGCAATCTATTTGAACAGATGGGGAAATAAATCCCAAACACGACGGCCTATACGAAGGTTGTCAGTTAGGTAAACTCGCAAATATGCATTAACCTGCCCAGCGACCGAAGTCAATGGTTGTCGAATGTGGCCAGCTTAACGGCATTCCCGATCTGTTTTTCACATTCTAACTCATGCAATGTGTGGAGTAAGCTCCCACAATGGAGGCGTTATATTTTAACCACAATTGATAAAGGCGGTAGCCGTCCGGATCCTGCAAACTGTCGCCAAGTGACTCTCCTCCTTGCGCTAGCGAAGGTGATGGAAGCTGTTGTTGCTTAGGCTCTAATGGACTACCTGGATAAATACAAAAGCTAGCCGCTGGAGCAGTGTGGCTTCCGTCAACCCCGGTCATGCACCACCAACCTGCTAATGACACGAGGTAGTTGGACTGAAGGGGCTGCTGATGGGGTCGGATTTGGCCTCACTTATCTGGACTCTCCGAAGCTTTCGATCGCCTGGATCACCGTACCCTACGTCATTAGCTACATGTCTAGGAAATCGTAGACCCTATCCTTGATTAGACTTGTTTGGCTCTATTCACCAATGAAAGCTTCAAGTGCGTGTTAGGGGAGACCACTCTAACCCGACTGCGCTAGAATGTGGTGTCCCACATGACTCAGTGCTGGGACCGCGCTTATTTCCGGTGTTTGTGAATGGCCTGCTAAGGGTTATCTCCTCGAATTTCCTGCATTTCACCCAGGATGAGAAGATATGGAGGGCGATTTATAACGAGTGAGAGCACGACCTAGTCCAACATGACCTCGAGTATATTTACTAATGGTCAAGAAGGAATCTAGCCCAGTTGAACACAGTTAAATGCAAGGTACTCTATCTTCGCTCCGAGCCGATTAGCTTTTATAAGTTGAAAGCCTACACGTTGCAAAAGGCCTCTCAGGAGCTTAACCTGTGTGTACTGGAACTGTAAGAACTTGGAGGTTCAAATGAAGCAGAGAAAGCGTTGAAAAATGGCACGCAACACGTTGGCCATCTGCCTAGAGCATTCGATCGGTTTAAACACTCAACCTCCATCCAGTTGCCTAACAGCTACTTGCGACCGCACCTAGCGTATGCTATATAGGCGTGGTAGCCGTGGCAGAAGCAGCATACCGTTGCCACCGGGACTCCACAACGAATGGCAACCAAGAACCTCGGGGGCCTCTTTCATCTGCCCTATCAG